TGGCGACATTGAAATTTCGTTTGCGTTTCTCTTTATGGATTTTAACACTGTGGATACTATTACCACCGCAATCTCTTCTGTTTTAAAGATATAATTATTGTGCTTTATTACGCGTCTTTTCTTTATTTCGAGTTGAAGAATTTTAATAAAAAAAATCTTTCTATTTGGCTCTAAACTAGCAAAAAACAGGGTGCGTCTATAATTTTTTGACAGAGTGTATTAACGTTAACTTTTGATATGGTTTTATAGAGCTTTCAAATGAAATTTTAACGTTAACTGATATTAAATTCAGGCTTTCAAATCATACCAAATACGGTCGACAAATCTTGAGTGAACGCATCGAGTTTCATCGATAAGTTTCAAATAAAAATCCCATTCATTTGTGGATCTTTGTTGTGCCTTAAACCTTTTTAACTTTACGATTTCGATTTTGATTGCTTTAACGTTTTATTTTATGATAATAAAAATGTAAGAAGTGTTTAAATTGTAAAAGTTTTTATCAATAGAACAATAAAAACTTTTATCAATCAATGTAAGAAGAAAATAAAGTGTTTAAATTGTAAAACTTTTATCAATAGAACCACAATCTAAATCTGAACTATAAATTTTATCAGTATTAGATCGAATATTGACCACCAAGCCAAAGATCCCAACTTTTAACCAACCGGAAGTCGTTTGGATGTCAAGTGGTTGGGTCTTTTTCTCTTTTGTCATTCAATGGAATGATTCTCTCATCAAAAAGCGGTATTTCTTTGAATGAGCAGACAGACACCGTCAAGAGGATTTTGGTGGAAAGAATTGCGCAATTGTCCATTCCTTTTTTTGGACGAGAAAGGCTTGGCATATCAATCAAACAAACAACTCCATTGTCTGCTTTAGAAAGATCGATTCTGCAAGTCAGCCTTGTTTTGTGTTATATTTTGTCTGTTACAGTACTCCGTAACTGTTAGATCTGTAGAGTAGGGCAACTGCTAGAGTACTGTAACTGTAATGTACTGTGTAGAGTAATGCGTAGAGTACTGTAACTGTTAGATCTGTAGAGTCGAAAACTGCTAGAGTACTGTAACTGTAATGTACTGTGTAGAGTAATGCGTAGAGTAATGTAACTGCTATACCTGTACAGTACGATAGCTGCTACTGTACGGTGCTGTACGGTACTGCACGGTACTGCACGGTACTGTAAAAGAGTTGTAAAAGAGTGTAACTTTTATATCATACCTGCAGTGTTGTAAAGCTAACTGTATCTTATTTGTAATCATTTCTCGAGAAATTACTATCTTTTACAAACAGTAACCAGGGAAAGCTAAAGCTAAAGAAAAGCTTGGAATGGGAATGGGAATGGGAATGGAAAGGATTTTTGGTAGACGAGGGGAAACGATGAGAAAAGACATTTGACAAAAAGCTATGAAAGGACAAAGAATTGTTGGTTAGGGGAGCAAGAAGGGGAACAGTCATATGCAAATTTGGTGCCTCTTCCCGCCCATTCCCCATTCCTCGTACTTTTATCCCCTTTGTTTGCTTTTCATCCACTCTCTGCCGTTTTGCGGGTCAAATCGAGTGATCCGCCAATTGAGTAGGAAGATTTTCTTCTCACAAATAAGTCTTTCATTGAATATCTCTCATTTTATTGAACTCTTTATTAACATTTGTCTACAGCGCTTGTAATTGAGTGCTGAACTTTGCATTGAGTGCTGAACTTTGATACCAATTAAGCTTTAAAACCTAGCTATCTAGGGTTTAATCTAAGTACTTTTGTAAGAAAAAGTCAATCTTTTCGATCTTTCCGATCTTTCTTTCTCAGCTCATTTATCTTTTCAAAGAAAGAAAAGAGAATAAGAGAGTATAATCCTTGTGTTTTTTCAATGTAAAGGTATTTCCGATGGGTGGAATTGGGAATGAAATGAAAGAAGACGAAAAAGAAGACCTTGAAAGTGAAGTGAAATCTTTGACTCTAAGCCTTTCCTCTTATTTCCTTTTTCCTTTTACCAATCCCTCTTCTCCTACCAAGATTACCCAATTCTTTTGCCCCATCGCATCCCCGTTGTTCTTCTCTGGAAATGGATTGATCTTTTTGGGTTTTACTTTATATGAAACCAATCTTTTTGTCTTTAAAAACTCTTGTATTTCAATTTCTGTTCAACAGAATTTTGTTTTAGTATTGAGAATTCAATTTTAGTATTGAGATTTATTCATTGAACATCTTTTGTTTCTTTTCTTCATCTTTTGTTCCCTTCAAACAACCCATTTTCTTTCCAAAAACTTCCAATCTTGTAGATCTAAATGTAGATTTACTTTTGTAGATGTCTACTTCACAAAAAGGATCTTGAAAGAGTGCAAAGTGGCGCACAATTCCCCGCACTCATTTCAGATTACTTAGGAGGGCATGCGGTAGCGGTGATCGGTTATGGTAAGCGCACAAAGCACAGGGTGGCGCACATGCACACATTTAGCACCATGAGCATCAATGCTAGTACTCTTCCCTAGTAAGTAGTAAGATAATATACAGGGTGGCGCACAATTCCCCGCACTCATTTCAGATTCTCCAGCTTAGCGAAGAGTCAATCAAACGACCCAATTCTTTTTTCAATTATCAAATTGAATACTTATCTTGCAATGTGTTTTCTAGATTTGAACATAAAAGTTTCTAAACTATTGCTAGAGTGCTGTAAAGTTGCAAAGTTGGAGCAGGGAAACGTTCTTGCCGTTTCACGATTCTCTAGTTTTTTGTAGCTAGTTTTGTAACTAGTAACTAGTTTTTTGTAACTAGTTTCAATGCCTTAAAATCAAAGAAAACACTCAGCGTCATTTATTACTTTTTACTTATTATTTTTAAAATCTAGCTAATTTTTTACTAAAAACAATAAATTTCGATTAAGGATTAAAGTTTAAAAACAGAATTTGAACATTGTGAACAATTGAATCAGATTGTGCAATTGTACGCCATCGTGTAAATAGATCGGCAAAAACTATCTTTTTAACTATTGGTTTTTCTTTAAATGTTTGAAAGTTATTTTAAAGAAACTAGAACCAGAGGTATTCATTGATCCATTTTCAACGTACTGTAGAGTACGATAACTGCTACTGTACAGTACTGTACTCGAACGGTACTGTACTCGAACGGTACTGTACTCGAACGGTACTCTACTGTAACGGTACTGTACTCTAACGGTACTCTACTCTAACGGTACTCTACTCTAACGGTACTCTACTCTAACGGTACTCTACTCTAACGGTACTCTACTCTAACGGTACTCTACTCTAACGGTACTCTGCTCTAACGGTACTCTGCTCTAACGGTACTCTGCTCTAACGGTACTGTACTCTAAGGGTACTGTACTCTAACGGTACTGTACTCTAACGGTACTCTACTGTAACGGTACTCTACTGTAACGGTACTGTACTCTAACGGTACTGTACTCTAACGGTACTGTACTCTAACGGCACTGTGCTCTAACGGTACTCTACTGTAACGGTACTGTACTCTAACGGTACTCTACTGTAACGGTACTCTGCTGTAACGGTACTGTACTCTAACGGTACTCCACTGTAACGGTACTCTACTTGTAACGGTACTGTACAGTACTGTAAAAGAGTTACGATAACTTTTATATCATAACTGCAGTGCTTTCAAGATACTGTAACTCTTTTAGGTTCTAGTTCTAGTTCTAGCTTCTTTAAAAAGTTATTTGAAAGAAACTAGAACCAGAGGTATTCAATGATTCATTTTCAACTCTCAACATATGGTGAATGTGATGAAGAGAAGAGGGTGGTTGGGGCACAAAAATGATTTACCATCAAATGACACCCTTTCTCCCCCCACCCAATGGCAACTATCATTTCAAATCGAATTGAACTTTGAGTTTCATTCAACATAAGCTATTTCTTGATATTTTCTTTACGTTTTATCATTCTTATATGATTTACAAAAATGGAATACAAATTTTAGCCTTGTAAAGTTGTTTTTGACTTCATTTATAAGAGTTTTCATTCAAGGTTCTCATTGAATTGATTTGTAAAATGTTCTTCTGTTTTGTAGAATTTTCTTAGCATTAGTTACATCCCGAATATTGTCTTTCAAAGAAACTTTTGTGATCGAGAGCTGAATTTCAAGAGCTAAATTGAGCTGAATTTCAAGAGCTGAATTGAGCTGAATCTCAAGAGTTACAAAGGTAACAAACAGATCAATTTGGTTCTAAATGCTGTAATCCAGACATCAAGCAGTTAATCTCTTGTTTTACTGAAAATCTAAAGATTCAGAGCCAGACTAGAAGTCTGGCTCTGGATCTTTAGACTCATGTTCAAGCCTGGTCTAGGTCAGGTAAAATCTAAAGAAAGCCAGATCCAAGCCAGCTTGCTTTAGATTTCGACCAGCTCTAGAAGTACTAAATTTAAGGTTTAGATTAATTGGTTTAGATTAATTGGTTAAAAGGTGAGCTGAAGTGGAGAGCTGTGAGAGTCAGAGAGTGACCCGTTCATCCCAATATTACTAGGCAATGGAAAAGGGAAAGGGTAGTGATGAAACTCGATAGGATTCGAAGAGAAGGGAATGGGTATCTGGGGAAGAAAAAAGGAAAAGAAAGAAAAGAACGAAAAGAATGAAAAGAAAGAGAAGAAAGAAAAAAAAAAGAAAAGAAAGAGAAAAGACTATCGAATTCATCGAATGTCCCCAGTTCTCCCCTCAAGTCGCGCAACTGTGGCACCACTTGGTTTCTCTAAAATTTCCAATCACCTTCTTTCCCTTGTTCTTTTTATTAGCCTCTTTTTTTCAATTTTATTTATAGTTGTTTTGATTTTAATCGGTTATTTTCTATCTTTTCATTAGATTTCTGTGACTTTTCATTGCTTCAATGATGGTTCTTTTGTTCTTTTGATTAAAACCTTTAAATCGAATTCATCTCTCGATTCTTTAGATTTGAATTTGATTTAAACACTTTAGATTTGTATTTTGTACTTGATTTGATTCTCTTTATCATCACAAATTTGTCTTCACAAAAGCTTCTATGAGAGATCGTTTCACGAAACGGATTCAAGTAAAACTTCTCGATGGGAATTTGATTTTTCTCGATATTCAAGTAAGTAAAGCTATTTGAATTTGTAAGAAGAGGGAAAAAGGGGTTTATTGAGGGGTGCTCGGGCAATCCTGTAGGTTCCTTTTCGGTACAGATTTGGTTCGTTTTCGGTACAGATTTGGTTCCTTTTCGGTATGGATAACAGACGTCACTGTTATCAAAGCCAAGCCTAGTGTAGTGTAGGTTCGTTTTCGGCACAGATTTGGTTCTTTTTCGGTACAGATTTGGTTCCTTTTTCGGTATGGATAACAGTCGTCGCTGTTATCAAAGCCAAACCTAAACCTGGGTTCGACTCCGGCTTCGGATTTAGAGTTGAATCGTTAGAACTGGCTATAAATGGCAAGTATATGGCAAAATTCAAAAGCTAACCAGGCAAAAGTCAAAAGCCAAGCCAAGCCAAGCCAAGCCAAGCCAAGCCAAGCCAAGCTAAGCCAAGCCAAGCCAAGCTAAGCCAAGCCAAGCCAAGCCAAGCTAAGCCAAGCTAAGCCAAAGTCAATGGTCTTGACTCGGGATTTCAAACTTATTGTTGAATTCGGCCTAATTTCCTAGCTTATTTGTTGAAATATAAATTTTCAGCCGTCTACAAGCGGTGCCACACTTCGTAAGGAGATCGATACACTTTGCGGGATCGAGAAACTCGATTCACTGCTATTTGGCATAGCTTTCATCGATGATCGGTTAGTGTTTGGTTAAGATATTGAAAATAGAGAAAACTGGATAAACTTTAACGACAATTCAGCGGCCAGTACTATTGGTTTCCCGAAGAAACGCTGGAAAGTGATGAGAATTTCGAGTTTTTCGAGCGGTTCATCAACGAAAATCGAGTTTTGCACCATCGAGTGAAGTGAGATTAAGCTAAATAGCCATGCTAAAACTACTATAATCGAAAATTGCAGATTTTTCCTTGACTCTTGTCTTTCCTGTGTTCATCCACTATCGATTGAGCTTTATTTCCTGGATGTGCATCAGGAAATCTTCCAGGTAAACGACTTTTTTGGCTTTTTTGGCTTTTTGGCTGGGTTACGATAGTCAATAGTACTTGGAAATTTTCATCGTTTTCTATTCTGCACTTTTAAAAAGAAGACTACAGTAAGGTTTCCCGATTGATCAAGAATTTAGTGTTAAGTAGAAAGCCGATATGGCTGAGTATTTATGGCTTAGGCTTAGGCTTAGGTTTAGGCTTAGGCTTAGGCTTAGGCTCAGGATTAGGCTTAGGCTTAGGCTTAGGCTCAGGACTAGGCTTAGGCTTTTTTAGGCTTAGGCTTGGACTTAGTGCGTAGGCTAGCGGCTAGCGCCTAGCACTAAGTCTATTTGGGTTTGGGCTATACCCCCAATTTCCGGTTAGGCTTAGGCTTAGGCTTAGGCTCAGGATTAGGCTTAGGCTTAGGCTTAGGCTCAGGCTTTGCGTGGAAAACGTTCACTAACGTTCGCGTTCATCGTTTTCTATTCTACACTTTTAAAAAGAAGACTACAGTAAGGTTTCCAGATTGATCAAGAATTTAGTGTCAAATAGAAAGCCGATTTTGGCTGAGTATTTATCAAATGAATTACAATATCTGTCTATCGATTAAAAAAGCTACCGTAATCACTTGCCAGCTTATAGTGTTTTTACTTCTTTGAGACATAGACAAAGATACCGTAGCTCTGGTGTACTATATTAATCGAAAAGATTACGATAACCAGAGCACTCTTTAGAATTAGAATCCATTATCTAATTTTTTTAAAAGGCTTTTGTTTAAAAGGCTTTTGTTTAAAAGGCTTTTGCTTAAAAGGCTTTTTTTTTAAAAGGCATCTAAACCTAACTATCGTAATCAAATGCTATCTTTCATTAAGCTAAATTTTGAAATTATTTCATAAAGAATGAAGAGTCTCAATCAATGAGCTGAGACAAAAGTTAACTTGCAAATAAATCACAATAGTTTTAAGTGCAGAAAAACACTTATATAAGAAAGTTATATAAGTGTTATATCTACTTATATAACTTTCTGTACTTCTATAGAAAATTTTAAAACAACCTGCATTATCCTTTTTTTTTCTTAAAAGTGATCATTATCGTCATCCCAACAAAAAAAAAATACTTTTCTTTTTATGTTATCTTTAGGGAAAAGGATTCAAAGAGAAAAAAGATTTTCTCATTTTTCTCAAAAGTTTCCCCCCCCCCATTTCGATTTGTTATTGAAGTCGAAAAAGGACATTTTTTTTTCACACTTCTTTCAGATTTTATCTATATGTCGTAGCCGATTATGAATGAAATTTTTTGGCAAATCTTTCTAGTAGAGCAACCCTTTAATGTATGAGGACAATATTATATCATCCTGTAGCGAATTCAATTCTGCGTCGATTGGTACCAAATTTGTGAGTTTAGGTTAAAAATTGCCGGCGCTATAACGTTTCATTCAAAATCGGCGCGACCCCCGTAGCCGATGATGAATGAGTGGGTCTAGGAGCGTCCAACCATCAAGTATTTAGTATCATTCAACGCAGAATCATTAATAATTATGTTAAATTTTTAAAATTAACAAGATTTGATAAAAAGAAAAAAAATTATGGGGCCTCAAAGTTTCCTCTTGAACAAACAGTTTTTTTGCTCTAATTTTTTTTCCTTTTTATTCAATCTTTCTAATTTAAAAAATTTAACATAATTATTAATGATTCTGCGTTGAATGATACTAAATACTTGATGGTTGGACACTCCTAGACCCACTCATTCATAATCGGCTGAAATCCATAATCGGCTACGACATACATAAACTATAAATTCATTTCTATATTTCAAATATATCAATATTTGAGGATAATCTCTGTTTGGAGGAGTTTGACTACGTGGAGGTGGCTGCAAATCTCATTCATGCTTATGTTGGAGACTCAAATGGGTATTTATTTCAAAAAACTAAAGCTTTAATTATTATAAGATCTATTAATTCTTCAAATGTTTTATAATTTTATGGTTTAAAATTGAAAATTTTATCTGGAAAGGTCAAGATCTAGAGGTTCTAGATAATTTGAATTTTAGCTAGCTAGCTAGCTTTGTAGTTTATAGTTAGATCTTTTTTATGAATTGAATTTTAGGGATATTTCTTCTGTGGACACGTTGAGGTATCTTTTGCCTGCAAGACCGAGAGCTTTCTTTCAAAAGATTCAAGAGAATATGATTGATGAGGTGATTTTCATTTCAAAGAACAGATTAATGAGAGAACAGAAAGAACAGAAAGAACAGAACAGAACAGAACAGAAAGAACAGAACAGGAAGAACAGAACAGAAAGAACAGAAGAGGAAGAACAGAACAGAAAGAACAGAACAGAAAGAACAGAAGAGGAAGAATAGAACAGAAAGAATAGAACAGAACAGAACAGAACAGAAAGAATAGAACAGAAAGAACAGAAAGAACAGAACAGAAAGAACAGAAAAAAGTTGAAAAATTTTCCAAAACGAATTATTTATTTGAGCTAATGTTTTTGATTCTTTTGATAGATTGAATAATTTCAGAAAGTGACTGAGATTGAGCGTGGGATCCTTGAAAATTATATGTTGTTGAGAGGGAAACAAAGGGGACATTCGATTGTCAGGTTTCTTTTAAATAGCTTTCTTTGTTTTTTTTTAAAATTATTCCAATTTGCTTAAAGATTACAAAAGAGTTCTCATTGAAAGGATGGATTTACCCAAAACGTTTCTTCTTCATCTCGATGTTTGATCTGCCTATTCCAAATTGCTAAAAGATTTGAAAGTTTTAATCTTAAAGCAGTTACTATTTAAAGCCTAAGTTTTCACTTATACTTTTACTAAACCCATCATCTCGATTTCTTGACTCATTGAGAAACACTTCTTCGTTTTTCCCTTCTTCTGTCATTGATTCCTTTTCTTTTCCCCATTCTCATTCATTCTTTTTTTTTTCTTTCTTTCTTTGTTTTGAGTGTCTGTGTTTGGAGATGACCACACGGAAAGGAAAGGGAAAGAAATTCTTAAACGAAAATTGAGAGAAAAGCACTTCTTCAATTGTGAATCCTTAGATTAAAAATGATTTGTTTCTTAGATTTTCCTTAGATTTTGATTTGATTTTGATTTGTTCAGCGATTGCAAAAGAATTTAGAAATTCATTTTTGGATTTTGATTTTTGATTCATTTAAATTAAATTAGGTCCATCATTAAGATTTGGGGGTTTTGGTTTGGCTTTGGCTTTGGCTTTGACTTTGGCTTTGGCTTTGACTTTGGCTTTGGCTTTAGCTTGGCATTGTGATTCACTTCTGATTCACTTCTGACAAGTGATTCACTTCTGACTTTTCGTAGAGTTCTCGTATAGTGTATAAGCTATAACTTTTTGGAGGACATTTGTGGTTTCCCCAGTTTTTCCTCATTTTCTCATTTCCATCCATATGTTCGTACCGGGTTTTTTTTGTGAGGAAAGGAATAGAGATTGGGAGTTTTAGTGGGTAAAATGAATTGAATGAATTGATTTCTTGTCTTGACTCTTGTTCTATTTCCTAAATTTTAAATACAACGATACCCGAGTTGGATAGGCTTCATTTGCTCAGTGTTGGCTCGGTTTTTCTTGGACTGGATCATCCAATCAAGCTCTATTTAGTATCATTTGTAAGCTTGAAATGTCCTCTGCACAATGATATAAAAAGTTGGTAAAAATATGAACTCTAGATAAAGTTATAGGCCTTCATTTCCATCCATATGTTCGTATCGGGGTTTTTTTTGTGAAGAAAGGAATAGAGATCGGGAGTTTTAGTGGGTAAAATGAATTGATTTCTTGCCTTGACTCTTGTTCTATTTCCTAAATTTGAAATAACTTTTCATATTAAGACTTTTATCGTTTTATTCAAAATACCCGGCAAGAGCCGAGCCGCAAGAGCCGCAAGAGCTCTAAACGGATATACAAAAAGAATTGAAAAGACTTTCTGAAGAGTTTCTGGAGAGTCTAATAACTTCCCCACCAATCCAATGTATCCCCAATCAAGTAATGTATCCCCTCTACAGACAAAAAGTCTTCTCTTCCACTCTCCATTTCTTCATTTCTTCATCTCTTCCCACTCCCAATGCCTTTTCTGTATTCTGGATGAAGGAATCGACCGACTGGTTCTTTTTCTTTGCCCCTTCTTTTTTTCCAATACTTTGAGATTTTCCAGAGAGACATCAACACTCATTCAATCTTTTACATTCACTGTATTCCTTTATTAAAAAGCTTTTCTAAAATGTGTGAAAAGTTAGCGTACTTTTTAAGGGTTTAAGGTCTCAATTCTAAATGAAACACAGTTTAGAACAGGAAAAGAAAAGATCTAGAGTATTTATCTATAAGTTAGCGTACTGTTTAAGAGTTTAAGGTCATTTTGTATCTCTTTTTGATCTTTAATGATTCTTTGTTAAATCATACTTCTTAAACTTTATATATTTCTAATAGTAGCGCACCAAAAGCGTCGCCTAAATTCCTCGAAATCTCGAGAACCACTTATCAGAACCTATTGATGTGGGGTTGGAAAATGTAGCTGACGATGAGATCTAGTGAGGGATTAGAGAGTTGAGCTTCTGGGAAAACTTTGGAAGCTGTAAATAGTCATCAACTCGGCACTACTATTAGAGGAAATAAGGTTGTTACTTTTATCGAAAGATTACGATAACTTTCCCAATATGGCTTCCTTTAGAAAATACTAGCCAAGAAAAGCAATTCATGTAGATTCTAAATTTTAATGAACTAGTAGTTCCTATTTAGTTCCTATTTTTATATAATTTCTTTTAGTTTTAACAAGTATTATTAAGTTATTTATGAAACAAAATCCCTCTTTTCGCTGAAACTTTTCTTTACTCATTCATTTTCAATTGATCTTTCGTCTTTTCTCTTCAATTTCTTTCGTAATTCATATTTCATTTACTTTTTTTGGATTTAAATCTAATAATTAATCATCAAATCAATAATCTAAAGCTTAGCGCTTAAAAATTTAGTCTCTTTAGTCAGCGTAAATGGAAATCAGCATAAATGGAATCAAAAGACACCGACAAAATCACTTTAGGACTTTTTTGAATATTAAAAGCTATCAATAGAATATTAAATGCTATCAATTCTTAAAAAGAACAGAAACTATTTCTGGTTTTTGATTGAAAAGAGATCGAGAATCTTTGAAAATCGTTTTGAGAATCTTTGAGAATCTTTTTAAGGGTCATCAAGCGTTCTTCTCTCTTTTCCTCTCTAAATCATTCTCTCTTTCCCTCTCTCAATCCACTTTTAAAAGCCACACGATTCGTTTGCTTTAATCGTTTGAACTATTGCTCTCCAACAATCTATTATTATTAATTACATCTATCAAGTTAATTTCTAGATAATCAACTTGAAATCAACTCCAACTAAAGCCTAAAACCTGTAAACATGGTTCAAGAGCAATTTTTTAGACCAGGCCAAATCCTGTGCCTGATTTTACTGCAAACTGACTCACATAAACCTATATGTCTGTCAAACGCTAGCCAGGACTTAGCTTCTAGTCTGACTTACAGGTTTAAAGGATAAGTTCAAAGGATAAGTTCAAAGGATAGGTTCAAAGGATAGGTTCAAAGGATAAGTAAGTTCAAATGCCTATCTTCAAGTATAATAACAGTGTTGAAGTTCACAATGATTTACTTCATTTTCTTCTAGATTTGTGCGATGTCTAGATGTCAAATCTGCCCTATTCGTTAATCTTTTTGTACCTGTGTTTCCTGTCTTACTATAGCCTAAAATTCAGCGTTTATTCTTAATCTTTTAATGGAAAGATTCAAAGTATAGGTTGAATATTCGAGAAAAGGAAAATAGAAAAAGGAAAATAAAGGAAAATCGGAGAAAAGTTTAAAACAGGTTCACGTTTTCTTTTGAATTTTTGTGGTTGATTTGAGGGGATCACCCGTTTTTTTGGGGAGTGATGGGATGGGAAAAGAGGGTTACCTCTAAAAATGACCCACATTTTTGATGGGTGAAACTTTTCATCGTTTCAGAACTGTTTTCTATTTTGTTTTATATTGATAAAACTCTGGATTTAAGCCTTAATCTAAGTATTTTAGCTGAAATTTATAAAGTAAACGCTTTTTTGTTATGGTTAGAATTCCCAATTGTATTAGGTTGATGCATAAGTGTTTTTGTTCCTTTTCGTCTGCCGTTTCAAGCCAAGTTAACATTAGTAAGTAAGCAATAACATTAGTAAGTCTACCAGAGCCAAGTTTAGCCCTAGCTTGTAGCTCTAGCTTCTGGCTCTGGCTTCAGCTCTGGCTTCTAGCTCTGGCTTCTGGCTCTGCCTCGCCTAGCTTCTAGCTCTGGCTTCGGCTCTGGCTTCTGGCTCTGGCTTCTAGCCCTCTAGCTCTGGCTTCTGGCTCTGGCTTCTGGCTCTGGCTTCGCTCTAGCTTCTAGCTCTAGCTTCTAGCTCTAGCTTCTAGCTCTAGCTTCTAGCTCTAGCTTCTAGCTCTAGCTTCTAGCTCTAGCTTCTAGCTCTAGCTTCTAGCTCTAGCTTCTATTAGGTTGATGCATAAGTCTTTTTGTTCCTTTTCGTCTGCCGTTTCAAGCCAACAAATGCACGAATTAAACTACGGTTGATTTCATTAGAAAAAGCAATTATTTTTCTGCAAAATAACATTAAAACGGGTTTAAAAATATTTAATGCCTGGATTTTCTTGAGAGTATGAAGTCGGGTAGTCAAAAAGGGCTAACTCGATGATGCGGTTTAGACACCTTAAAAAAAAAAAAATACCGACTGGGGCTACCAGTGGTGAATTTATCGCATACACGAAATATATCAATCACAATACAACGACACACACAATACTAGGCTATATCTTAACTTAACCCACGTCATGACAGACGGCTCCCTAACCCTAAGCTCAATGGGGAACTAAATAGCTTTTTTGGTGGTGAAGGGAAGATGACGATGAAGGAGTGGCTTGTCACTTTAAAGAACTGGGGCCACAACCACCAGACTGCCCTCCAGAAAACCTCTCAACCCGAAGGGAAAGGAAATCCGAAGGGGGTGACCATGTCGCATGTGGGGTTCGAACCCTCGACCTTCCGATTAAGATAAAAGACACTTAACCAGTCAGCCACACGTGCTCCTTAGCTAAAGAAAACCAATCTTCGTGTCAATAGATAAAAGATAGAGAAAAAAAACGTTTGATATTTCGCCAAAATTTCAGAGAAATTCATTCAGCCAATTTTTCCGTAGAGTTTTTTATAGATTTTTACGAAAAAGGCGTTTTTCACTCTCGAATTTGCTTCAAAGTGAACCGAAATTCATTTAAAAAGATGCAAATTGAACAAAAAAAACACTTTTTTTTATAGAGCAAACTATAGATTTGTTACTTTTTAACAGAAGTACGAAAAAAACGAAAAGACTTATGCATCAACCTATTAAATGTTTAATGAAAGTTTTTGTCAAATTTCAAAAGTTTTTTCGTATTTCATTTTTTTCAAAGCGCCCGTACTTTCAAAAAATGCGTCTTTGGTATCAAAAAATAGCCCTGAATTTCAGCTATTTTTTGATACCAAAGCGCTCATTGTAGCATAAACCAGTGCCGAGAAAAACGCGTCCAAAGCTAGACTACGCAACACTTCGCACCGTCATTATGGGGGTGAGGTACTATTACAGTATTTACGGTATATTCTTTAGCAAAAGTATTAGTTTAGCTTTAGATACACTATAAAATTTGTTTTGTTTTGTTTTATATCTATTTTGTCCAGATTTATGTCCAGAAATTTGTTTATCAGTTAAATAAAGCTGATAAACCAAAAACTTATGACCTTGGTTGAATGTCGTTGTTGAATGTCGAACGGCTTTTCACTAAAAAAGCAAAAAAACGTTGTTTCCTTTCTTCTCTTATTCCAAATTATGAGACTAGACTTATAGTTTTTAATTAATTAAAACTTTTTGATTTAAAAGCCCCTTTTATATCGCCGGATTTACTTTGATCTTATTTTTTTTGCTATAAAATTCTTTTCCACCCTAAGTCGCATCCAGAATTTGCAAAGCTTCTTGAAAATTTGTTTTCTAAAAGCCAAAAGTAAAAGTATTCTAGAGAATGTTTTAATAAAGCTGTGAATTTTCGTTGCTTAAAGCCTGATTGAAAATGTCGAACGGCGTTTGAATAAAAAAAAAGCAAAAAAACGTTGTTTCCTTTCTTCTCTTATTCCAAAGTATGAGAATAGTTTTTAATTAATTAAAATTTAATTAAAACTTAATTAAAACTTAAACTTTACAAGCTAAACTTTTGATTTATTATGAGAAATTTGATTATTTTTCCATTCTAAAACTAAAAACTTTACAGCATCGTCGCTTTGTCATTGATTTAGTCGAAACTTTCAAAATCCTCCGTAGTAAACAGATTAGCCCTTTGTTTATAGACTTTTTCAAATTTAAACCGCGGTCAGGGCCCAGAAGTGGCTCATTCCTTTTGCAAATTCCCTTTGCTTCCAATGCCTCTTTATCAAATTCATTTCCCGTTAGAGCCGCTAGATTATGGAACTTGCTCCCAAACGACATACGAGAAATTCAGTCGCTTTTCATATTCAAGAAACGTATCGATGCTTTAGATCTAGTGGCTCTTTGCCGTAAGTAATTGGCTTATTGATTTCAGTATGTATTGTATGATTAAGTATCACTGTGCATTTCTCTATGATTTCTTTCACTTTATCGTTTGAATAAAGTATTATTATTTATTTTATATTCTCAATCTGTCATTTCCGATTTGTTTGATTCGGCTTTTCACTAAAAAAGCATACAAACGTTGTTTCCTTTCTTCTTTTATTCCAAACCTTTTAAATTACTATATTCTTTAGCAAAAGTACTAGCTTAGCTTTAGATACACTATAAACTAATATCCAGAAATTTGTTTATCAGTTAAATAAAATAGATAAACCAAAAACTTATGACCTTGGTTGAATGTCGAACGGCTTTTCACTAAAAAAAGCAAAAAAACGTTGTTTCCTTTCTTCTTTTATTCCAAATTATGAGACTAGACTTATAGGTTTTGATTTTTAAAAAAAACCCTTTTATATCGCCGTATTTACTTTGCTCTTATTTTTTTTGCTATAAAATTCTTTTCCACCCTAAGTCGCATCCAGAATTTGCAAAACCTCTTGAAAATTGTGGAAGTACACGTAGTTCTAGAAATAAACGTAGTGATCCTTATCAAATTTTGGTCGGTTCTCATCCCCGTCATCTTTCCCTTTATCATCCTTTTGCGAACCGTATTAGTAGGGTTTGGAATCAGCTCCCGTCTGGTATCTTCTCGTCTGTAGGAAAATTGAAAGTATGTATAAACGAATTAGATCTTATTGCCATGTCAAATCTACCTTATATTTAATCTTTTTGTACCTGGGTTTCTTAACTATCGTCTTACTGTACCATTTTTGGTTTTCTTTCTTTTTTTTTGTGAAAGTGTCTATGTCACCTGACATAGGTGACATAGACATAGAGCCTGTCAGGCCTATGGAATGCCTCTCCTTTCTGATCCCCTCACAAAGAGTTTGAAATCACACTCTTGAAAATTGTGAAAATTTCTAGAAGTAAACGTAGTGATCCTTATCAAATTTCGGTCGATTTCCATCTCCATCATCTTTTCCTTTATCATTCTTTTACGAACCGTATTTGTAGGATTTGAAATAATATTTTAAATAGTTTGTTCGTTCGTTTCGCTTACAGATAAATGAATTTTCCTACAGACGAGAAGCTCCCGTCTGGTGTCTGTAGGAAAATTGAAAGTATCTATAAACGAATTAGATCTTATTGCCATGTCAAATCTGCTCTATTCGTTAATCTTTTTGTACCTGTGTTTCCTAACTGTAGTCTTACTGTACTATTTTTAGTTTTCTTCCTTTTTGCGAAAGTATTTTAGCAATATGTTATATGCGGTTATGATTATCTGATTTGATTCTACTCGCCCCTGAATAAAGCAGATATATATATATACCGTATTTTCTCTAATAGTAGTGCACCCAAGCGAGCCGAGTTGATGACTATTTACGGCTTCCAAAGTTTTCCCAGAAGCTCAACACTCAAATCCCCCACTAGATCTCATCGTCAGCTACATTTTCCGACCCCACATCGATAAATTCTGATAAGCGGTTCTCGAGATTTCGAGGAATTTAGGCGAAGCTTTTGGTGCACTACTATTAGAGAGAATACGGTATGTCAAGTTTAAGAAGTATGATTTAACAACTAATCATTGAAGATCAAAAAGAGATACAAAATGACCTTAAACCCTTAAACAGTACGCTAACTTATAGATAAATACTCTAAATCTTTTCTTTTCCTGTTCTAAACAATGTTTCATTTAGAATTGAGAAAGAGAAAGCTAAAGAGAATCAATAAAAGTAAGAAATAGACATTAAACATTTCTCTTTGATTTCCCGCTTTACAAGAAGATCAATTAGTGTCTTTTGGGTGTTTATCAGAAAATCGGGAATATTTAGAGAAAAGGGGAATTGAGGGAATGAGGGAATGAGGGAATGGAGGAAGCGTGCTGTTCCCCGTCCCACCATCCCCTCCCCTCCACTCCCCAATCACTCCATATATATTTATTTCCCCATTTCCCTATTTCCCTATTTTCCTCACTAATTTCGAGAGATTAAGTGCCTTTCGATCCTTTTTAACCTTCAATACTCCATTGTTAACCTTCAATACTCCATTGATACTCCATTGTTCTCGAAATAATTCGACTAAAACCCTTTAAGCACTCATTGAATCGATGTGTATCCCATTTGAAACCATTTTTTTTTCTTTCATCAAAGAATTTCATTAAATCTAAAGCTCTTTACAATTTCGATTTTTATATTGTATCTTTGTAATGTTCTAGAGCTACTTGTAGAACAGTATCGATACTTTACATTTGACAATTTCTCTACTTTCAGTTTATTCTTTTGATTATCTATTGAGATAAGGCAAAGATTTTAGTATATCTTGAATCTATTTTGATTCTATTTTGAATCTATTTTGAATCTATTTTGAATCTTGAATTTGAATCTATTTTGAATCTATTTTGAATTTATTTTGAATTTAAATTCTCTTAAAGTTTTCCTTTTCAGGGTGATGCAAATCGTGGAACGATGCGCAACTTATGGAAGTCGTTTCTATTGTGTCAGAGATGGGGTCACTGATGAACAGGTGAATAGAGAAATAAGGCATAAAGTCCCCCCGGACAGCGAGAGAAAAACTGTCGGTCTAGGTCATTGGTAGGGTGTTCGGCCGGTAGGCCTGCTGGGTCGCTAGAGCTCCTGGGTTCGAGTCCGGCACTAACCATTCCGTTGTCGAAATGATATTTTTTGCCTTCATTTTTTTGATTTTTGAAGACCAAACTCGATTTTAAGTTGACAATCGCCGTGAACAGTCGCGGCATTTTCGTCTACAATGTCGGCGATTTCTTGGAGCCCGTTCAAGTGAGTGCTTCAAAAAAGGGGATTGTGTTTTTGAAAGAACAAAAAATACTCTAAAGATACAGTACAGAAATTTGCATAGCTTTATTATTAAAATGGGGAGATTTAAAAAGGCTACAATCGCTTTTATAATTTGGCAAGTGACTGTAGAATACCAAAAAAAAAAAGACTGACTTTTCGAGTTCCCAAAAAGTTTCCCATTCGGAATGTTTCATCGGCGAATTTTTTGCCATTGAAAAACTTTTCCACCCTCCGACTTTTCTTTATGATTCACAGAGAGAGAGAATAGGTCTTTTTTTCTCCATTTTATCGGCCAGGATTTGAATTGAGTAAAGATTTTGATCGCAACATCGTAGTTAAAAAGACAAATACCCCGAAAAAAAACAGACTTTTCGAGTTCCCCAAAAAGTTTAACGTACTGTACTGTACTGTACTGTACTGTACATGTGCAGTAAAGTACGGTAAATACTATGTAAAAAGAAAGTCTATTTCACTGCAGTCTTTTGAATAGAAAATGCACAATTGTTACGGTTTGCACGGTCAATTTTCAATTTAAGTTTTAAATAAATAAATATGCTTTAGATTTTAGCTAATTTTAGCTAGATTTCACTAATTTCAGCTAGATTTCACTAATTTCAGCTAGATTTCACTAATTTCAGCTAGATTTCACTAATTTTAGCTAGATTTCACTAATTTTAGCTAGATTTCACTAATTTCAGCTAGATTTCACTAATTTCAGCTAGATTTCACTAATTTCAGCTAGATTTCACTAATTTTAGCTAGATTTCACTAATTTTAGCTAGATTTCACTAATTTTAGCTAGATTTCACTAATTTTAGCTAGATTTCACTAATTTTAGCTAGATTTCACTAATTTTAGCTAGATTTCACTAATTTTAGCTAGATTTCACTAATTTTAGCTAGATTTCACTAATTTCAGCTAGATTTCACTAATTTTAGCTAGATTTCACTAATTTTAGCTAGATTTCACTAATTTTAGCTAAATTTTAGCTTATTTTAACGAATTTTAGCTAGATTTTCGATTATTTTAGTTAAAATAAGCTAAATCTAGCTAAAATAAGCTAAATTTAGTTAAAATCTAGCTAAAATTAGCTAATAATAAAGCAAATTCGTTAAAATAAGCTAAAGTCTAGCTAAAATAAGCTAAAATTTTGACCTATTTTGCTTAAAATTTAGTGGCTCGAGTGGAAAGACTTTAGCTTTAGCTTATTTTAGCTAGAGTTTAGCTTATTTTATCTAATTTGCTTTATTATTAGCTAATTTTAGCTAGATTTTAACTAAATTTAGCTAAATTTAGCTTATTTTAGCTTATTTTAGCTTATTTTAGCTTATTTTAGCTTATTTTAGCTTATTTTAACTTATTTTAGCTTATTTTAGCTTATTTTAACTTATTTTACCTTAATTTACTTAAAATTTAGTGGTTCGAGTGGAAAGATTTGGACAATTTATTCTACAAAGAGACTGAATTCATGTTGGGATTAAAACAAAGAAAAATGATGGGAAATAGACCGAATTCTTGTTTAATAACAAGTGAAAAAGATGTCGAATTGCAGAAAGCTGTCAATGATCCAACAACGAAGTGAGTTCGAAAGTTTCAAAGCATTCAAAGCATTATAAATTCAAAAGCAAATCCTTCCAGCTACTCTATCCCATTGCCGAAAGGGTAGAGCCTTACTATAACTAGCCTATCGAACTTGGCTTTAGTACAGAACAGAACAGAAAACAGTACAGACTCAATTCTTGATCTTTCTTTCTTTCTTTCTTTCTTTCTTACTTTCTTTCTTTCTATCTTTCTTTCTTACTTACTTATTTACTTTCTTTCTTTCTTACTTTCTTTCTTTCTTTCTATCTTTCTATCTCTCTTTCCCCTTGTCTTCTTTCTCTTGTCAAGTTAAGGCACCGGATAGCTCAGTGGTTAGAGCAGAGCTCGGATAGCTCAGACTCAATTCTTGACCTTCCTTTCTTTCTCTTCTTCCTTCCTTCCTTCCTTCCTTCCTTCCTTCCTTCCTTCCTTCCTTCCTTCCTTCCTTCCTTCCTTCCTTCCTTCCTTCCTTCCTTCCTTCCTTCCTTCCTTCCTTCCTTCCTTCCTTCCTTCCTTCCTTCCTTCCTTCCTTCCTTCCTTCCTTCCTCCTTCCTTCCTTCCTTCCTTCCTTCCTTCCTTCCTTCCTTCCTTCCTTCCTTCCTTTCCCAACTCTTTCTTTTATACAATTCTTTTAAAGGTGAGAAAGAAGAAAAACGGAGAAACGAGAATTTTTTTTGTTCTGAATCATCCCCGATATGTTCTTTCTTCTTTTTTTCCTTTCTTTCTTCATATCAAATCGATCTTTTCTCTACTCAAAGTCTTTTTCTTGTACCAAACAAAGTTTTAATTTACATTTAAATGATACATAAAGGCGTAAAGAACAACAATAATTACATTCAAATCAATTTTTTTGATTAATCTTTGTATTTTTGCTAGAAGCTAAAACTAATTGAGCAATTTTTATCTTACTCAAACAATTTTTATCTTATTTTTCTTTTTCTTTTAACTCTTACTTCAAAAAAATCAAAAGAAAATTAGCAAATTGTTTCGATTTTTGTTTTTTTTTCTTCTTCGCGTTGCTAGGAAGCGGAAAAATCGCAAAAAATTCTTTAAAACAATGGAATTTGATCTGATTCGATAAACTTATGGATCTTTTATTGTTAGAAATCGTTTAAAGTTTCCCGATTTTGTTTTATGTTTATTTTTAACAACCCAAACAAGGATTTTGAAGATACGATGATCCATGATTTGATTTATTCATAGAGAATTTCAGATTCAACTCGGTTCAACGACGCGGTCGATTGCCGATTTCTTCCCAACAACTTTCACAAGGGGTTAGTGAAAAGAAAGAAGAAAAAGAATATAATGTGAATTTACAAGCTTTCCCAATGCTGGGTTTAAAGAATGACTTGGCTACGGTAACCATCGAACAATTCTGTCACCTGTAGAGATCACTTTCGGGATCGATCAGAGTTATTCAGAATTGGTTAGAGCTATTTAGAATTGATTAGAGCTATTAGGAATCGACTAAAGCTATTTAGAATCGATTAGAGCTATTCAGAATCGACTAGAGCTATTTAGAATCGATTAGAGCTATTCAGAATTGATTAGAGCTATTAGGAATCGACTAAAGCGATGAAGAATTGACTAGAACTATTCAGGATTGACTAGAACTATTCAGACTCGACTAAAGCTATTTAGAATCGACTAAAGCTAATCGATTAGAGCATTTTAGCAAAGAAACTTGTTCTCTAAAGCCTGAATATTGAAAGAATTGAACTCTTTAAAAAGAACTGTTTGTTAAACACAGCTAATGACTTGAACAGATCAGTAGATCAAGATAAAGTGTAACTTTTAGAAAATCTACGTAGAAATCTTTTGTATTATTCTAAAAACCAGTAGCCGATATGATTTCATTTGCAGAAAGTCGATCTATTATCTTCTTCTCGATCCTCTTCACCCACTCATCATTTCATCGATAATATTCTCTATCGTTGTGACTCTCATTCACTTTGCCGGGCATTGTGGGCAGCAGCTGTCTCTCAACACAAGTTCTACCTCACTAAGGTTGGTATAATCAACATTTAAATTCACAGCTTGTATTTTTTATGTAAAACTTGTTGATTTCTAAGATTCTTTGATCATATTTCTCTCTAATATCTCTCTAATGACTTGAACAGATCTAATGACTTGAATAGATCTAATGACGGAACAGATCTAATGACTTGAACAGATCTAATGACTTCAAGATCTAATGACTTGAACAGATCTAATGACTTGAATAGATCTAATGGCTTGAACAGATCTAATGACTTGAATAGATCTAATGACGGAACAGATCTAATGACTTGAACAGATCTAATGAATTGAATAGATCTAATGGCTTGAACAGATCTAATGAATTGAATAGATCTAATGACGGAACAGATCTAATGACTTGAACAGATCTAATGAATTGAATAGATCTAATGGCTTGAACAGATCTAATGAATTGAATAGATCTAATGACGGAACAGATCTAATGACTTGAACAGATCTGATGACTTCAAGATCTAATGACTTGAACAGATCTAATGACTTGAACAGATCTAATGAATTGAATAGATCTAATGGCTTGAACAGATCTAATGACTTGAACAGATCTAATGACTTCAAGATCTAATGACTTGAACAGATCAGTAGATCTCTAATGACTTGAACAGATCAGTAGATCAAGATAAAGTGTAATGTTTCTTTCAAAACCCAAGTCCATTTAAGGGATGAGTTGGGTGAAAGGAAAAGATTTTCCCATGAGACGCTCTTAAGAAAAAATGGGGTAAAGTCTTCGAAAAACATTGTTATCCTTTGCAAGTCATTCTTTCTTTTCATTTCTTTTTCAAAGTGTTGAGAAAACAAAGATCTTGTTGTAAAATCTTGTTCTGATCTGTTTTTCTTAAAACTTTTTGATTTGATTTTTATTTATTCTAATAATTTCTTAAAAAGAATTAAAATTTTGATAGAATATTTGAACTAGAGTGTGTTCCTTGCAAAAAAAAATGCGTTTTCTAAAAAGCTCTCGCCAAATATAAGCTACCGTAACCCTATGCTTTGCATAAGCGAATTTTTTCAAATACAAATGTACATTAAATCGAAAATTGAATCGAAATTAAAAACTTGGCAATCGACCGCGTCGTTGAACCTTTTCTACTACTCTTTCATTAACTTTTTCTTTTTTTCTTTTTTTCAAACAGTTTAAATTTTGAACTGATTCTAACACATTTACAATTGGGAAAATTCGATTTCTGAATTGGGAATTAGCTTAGAAATTTGATTAGAAGATAGAAAAGTTTGGAAAACTGGCAGGCTAAAGAGGCAGGCTAAAGTTAGCTGTTTACCAAATGAATGATACCAAATGAATGATACCAAATGAATGATACTAAATGAATGATACTAAATGAATGATACCAAATGAATGATACCAAATGACCAAATGATTTACCATTAATACAGTATAAGAGTCGAATACTACTCGTACTTTCCTAAACCTAAAAGAATTAAATTCTTCAAGTCATTTATGCATTTCAGACAATTAATTGTCATTTATTCAAGAAATGATCGTTAGCTGTTAGCTGTTTACCAAATGACTTCTTGACTTCTTCTTCATTGACCATCTCCGTTCAATCAGCCGATTGATCAGTATCCTCGAAGTGTGGCGATTTCGTAAAGAGAAACTTTCACTGGTTGGTGGGATGGGAAAAGAGGGATCTCATAGTGAGAAAAAGAAAGAAAAATGATGTTTGTTAGGCGATAAATCTTCTCCTTTCCTCCGCATCTCATCCACCGATTTTCCTCTTCCCAAATTTCTCACCCATTTTGTTTTGTGTTTGTACGCTAGGAAAGTTGAGGTTTTTTTTTTCTTTGAGGCTTCTTTACACGTTTAATTTTCTTGCAGAAAACTTTCCAGAAAACTTGCAAAAAGTTTGATTGATGTTTTATGAAAAATCAACTTATTTTGTTAGTTTTTTATTGATTAAGAAAACTTTTCGGCTTAGTTTTCTAATCAGATTTCTCATTTTTGATCGTTTTAATGGAAAGTTAAGTTTTCATTTTAGCAAAGAAAGCTCACTTTAGTGATTTCAATCTTTAAAAGATAAGCTTTCACTAAAAAGTTTCCTCGGAATTACTTTTAATTGTTCAAAAATTCTTTTTTCCTCGATTCTTTTTTCCTTCTTCGATTTTCCCAAGCTGTGCTGATAGCTGTACTAATAGCTGTACTGATAGCTGTGCTGATAGCCAGCTCTTCTTTGAGCTCTATAGCTGATAGCTGTACTGATAGCTGTACTGATAGCTGTACTGATAGCTGTACTGATAGCTGTGCTGATCGCTGTGCTGATAGCTGTGCTGATAGCCAGCTCTTCTTTGAGCTCTATAGCTGATAGCTGTACTGATCGCTGTGCTGATAGCTGTGCTGATCGCTGTGCTGATAGCTGTGCTGATAGCTGTGCTGATCGCTGTGCTGATAGCTGTGCTGATAGCTGTGCTGATAGCCAGCTCTTCTTTGAGCTCTATAGCTGATAGCTGTACTGATCGCTGTGCTGATAGCTGTGCTGATAGCTGTGCTGATCGCTGTGCTGATAGCTGTGCTGATAGCCAGCTCTTCTTTGAGCTCTATAGCTGATAGCTGTACTGATCGCTGTGCTGATAGCTGTGCTGATCGCTGTGCTGATAGCTGTGCTGATAGCTGTGCTGATCGCTGTGCTGATAGCTGTGCTGATAGCTGTGCTGATAGCCAGCTCTTCTTTGAGCTCTATAGCTGATAGCTGTACTGATCGCTGTGCTGATAGCTGTGCTGATAGCTGTGCTGATCGCTGTGCTGATAGCTGTGCTGATAGCCAGCTCTTCTTTGAGCTCTATAGCTGATAGCTGTACTGATCGCTGTGCTGATAGCTGTGCTGATCGCTGTGCTGATAGCTGTGCTGATAGCTGTGCTGATCGCTGTGCTGATAGCTGTGCTGATAGCCAGCTCTTCTTTGAGCTCTATAGCTGATAGCTGTACTGATAGCTATACTGATCGCTGTA